AGGATTTGGGCTAAGAAAAAAAAATGAGCTATGAGAAATTTATTGTAGTACAGGATAAGATACTGATGGAGCAGCAGTGCATGCTAAATAAGTGTTTTAGAGAAAATGATCAAAATTATCGAAAGGTTAATGATTGATATCTTCATATCAGTCAAGCTCGAATCTGACCAGATATTTAAGCTACTTGATCAAGCTGACGAGGTATATTAATATATTAATTTGCTAACTTTTTTAGTCTGTAAATGTTAGAAAGTAGTGCTCTTGATCGCTAGTAGAGTCAGTAATGTTTCAAAGCTATTGAAAAGTGTTGGTTCAACTCTGTGAAATCTTTATAGGCTGAATGAATGATGTTAATTTTCTCCTCATTTTTATTTTTTTTTCCCTAGGTAGTTCAATCTGTTTATGGTAGTTTATTTCATAGAATTTTCTGGTTTGAAATTAGGATTATCAATAATCTTCACATATTGTTATGTCACATTATAATACTATATTTTCACTTTTCAGGTGTGGGCAAGAGTTGCCTTCTTTTGCGTTTCTCTGATGGTTCTTTCACCACCAGTTTCATTACCACCATTGGGTATGTCTATTTGAAATAAAAAATGTAATATTTCAGTATGGCTTCACAACGTTCTTGTGCTAGCAGCTATCCTCCTTAGATTTGAATTCATTGTACAGCATTGATTTCAAGATAAGGACCATAGAGCTGGATGGGAAACGGATCAAACTGCAAATTTGGGATACTGCTGGGCAAGAGCGATTCCGAACTATCACGACTGGTATGCACATGACCTATGGACAAATATCCCATCCCCATTCTCTGGACATGAGCTAAGAGAATTCACTATTCTGTTGCACATTTTCATTTTTCAAATGGTGCATGAATATTCTCTATAGATGCATCCATATGCTCGAGATGGATCGATTTCATGGAAATTTGATGGCATGAAGTACCTATATTGATTAAGTACTTCCACCCAAAATAAATAAATGCCATATCACTTAAAAAATCAACTACTGGATGTTGATAGAAATGGAATTCTATGCTTGTGTGTCAGGAAAACTAAAAGTCTTTTCTCATTGACATTGCATTGCAGTTTATTAAATTTGAAGAACAATTACACCTGAATGCTTTTCTTTTTATATAAAATTAAACATACATTTGCATTTTAAGAAGCAATTCTTATTGTAACTGAATTCAGGAGAATATCTCAAAACTATTACATGAAGTTGGATCAAGGAGGAAACTCTTAGAAGTGCAGGTTTGACTTGAAATAAACCATGTCAAAAGAACAATACTAAATTTGATGTAGTGTTTTATGCTTGCTATTGGTCAAGATCTGTTTCTGTAGGACAATGAACTGAGCTATGAAAAGGCACAGGATTAAAAATGGGTACCGAAGGCTATTACTGTAGCTTTTCAAATTTGTTAAATGGTTCCAAGGTCTGCAGAAAAGTTAAAAACCTGTTTATCTTTTTATGCTGAAGGAGGGAGTAAATTAATTCTCTGGTAGAAATCTCTCTTTCCAAGAACTTATTTCGATAGGAGTTTCCAAATATCAACAGGCGTTTTTCTACATTTAGTCATGGAAGGAAGGATAAGAGGAACAGAAGTAAGATCGTATATCATATGAGGAATTTGCAATTGGCCAATATATATCATTATGAAAAGACATGGTTCCTTTTGGCTTTTGCCTTTGGTTAAGGTTTATATCGTCAATTATTTTTTCTTGTATGGTGCTTGTAACCGGTTTAGATTATCTATAACATAATTTTTCTTTCTTGAAATTTCCAAGACTTTTATTTAAATTTATTTTTATGCAGCTTACTACCGTGGAGCAATGGGTATATTGCTGGTGTATGATGTGACTGACGAGTCATCTTTTAACAGTAATTACTCTGCCTACTCATCATCTTATATCTTTGGGTATCAGATATCTTTGTTGTATTCCCGCAGCATAGATCTTTTTTGTTCTTTGGCTTTTGAATTCTCATGTTGTTGTGCTCTCTCTCTCTCTCTCTC